CTCCAGCTAACACTACACTTATTTAAAAATAACAATCACATTTTATAATATAATAACATTTGCCAGTTGCACAAAGCAACAAATAATTACACAAAAACATGTCCTCATAACATACTAGATGGGCCAAATCATTCCACCACTGAGTTATCAGTTTCATTAGTTCAGTTCTTTCTGAATCTTTTTGTTAGTAAAAAAAAAAAAAAAGGCCTTTAAGTAGTTCAGTTGTTAAACAGTTTTATTAGGCATAACTCTCTTCACATTAACTCTGTAATTGCCTTCACATTTGCTCATGGCTTATTCCTACTATTTGTTGCCATTTTCAGGTTGTAACTCTGTAAATAAAAGAAAACAAAAAAATACATATTTTAGCGTTTCATCTGAAAGAGAGCTTGTTACAAGCATTATGCTATAATGAGTTTATCAAACATTATTCAGGCCAAATGTATTTCTGTTACATATTTTGAATGTACAATTACTTTCATATGTACATTTTCTAGTCTGCAGCTCTGTATTTTGTATGTTCCATCTTATTTTGTTGTTTCCCTCGTCTCGTCTTGTCTTGTCTTTTATTTAGTTTCTGTCGCCCCGTATTCCCATCCTATTGTCTTAGTTCCCTAATAATCTCCTGAGAACAGAGAGAGCGTTTTATGATTTCCTACCTCTTTGAAGCTAAAAGAGCCCATACAAAAACATAAGATATCAATTGAAAGCCCAGAATGTCCTTTATTTGCCACATTAGGACTTAGTAAGGTACCTCAAATAAGTCCAAATATTATAGACAAAAAAACAAATGTCCATTACAGAGAACAAACGTACAGGGTGGTTCTCAGGAGGATACATCATCTTTTCATTTGTATGCTGTCTTTTTACTTAATTGTTTCCTGTCTTATTTCCACTGACTCTTTCTCATGTTTCACTTTTTGTGTCTCCTTGTGAAGTCAGTCTTGTCTGTTTACTCAGTTGTCTGTGTTAAGTTAGTGTGTTTGGTCTTTGTGTCCTGCTACTTCCTGTTTTTTCTTTTGTTTTGTTTTTTCTTGGTGAGCTCATGCCCCTTGTGTGTTGTCAAACTTTCCAGTGTTTTCTTCAACGTAGGTTTCAGTTCCCATTTTGTGTTTTTTTTTTCCTTTATTATACTATCTTTGCAATCAGTCTCAATAAAAGGCCTGTTTGTCGTTAAGCTCAATTCTTGTTTGTCGTGTTTTCCTGGATCTTCACTCACTGAATCTGCACATCTTGCAGACTTTTGACAGAAGTGGATAATAAAATTTTCATATTTCACACATTCTGCAACTTGTGGGGACCAAATGAAAGTCCAGGGTTTGTGGATGTTGCAGATTCACCACCACATTTGAACCTGTGCAACTAACCAAAGGAAAGGAAGATAGCCACAGGTCACCTGATAGGATGCAGGCTTTCTGCAAACAGTCACAGTCTGACTTGAACAGCAGTTGCTTTTAGAGAGATTGTCAAACATTTGTAAAGTAATTGCTGTCAACTGATAAAGAAAGACAGATTGCTAATATCTTGCCATCAGTCTGAATGAATGTTTGAGCACCACTCAACCCAAGTTGCTGCCATTTGGTTGTATTGTGGTTTTATTCCTATAGTAGTGATCACCTAATGAAGCTTTCTGAAGCACTTAAGGGTTTGTTACTCAAAGATTTTCAACACAGTGATCTTTGGTGCCATCTGCTTGCCAAAAGTATGAAGATCAGATTGAACCTACAAGTTGAAATGAACTACTTCATTATGATTAACCACTCTACAGAGCTGAGTTGAGTGACTTCTTTACACTTGTAAACATAGATTAAAAAAAAAAAACCCATATGAAATAATGTAAAAAACACAATCTTATATTAGGTTGGGCATATGCTTGTACTGTGAGCTCCTGCCTCTACGTGCTTTTGTAATTAACCAATGGACAGATACATTCATATATAATATACTATAGCTTATATGTATACTGGATTTCTTATGGTGGCAGCACGGTGGTTAGCACTGTTGCCGCACAGCAAGAAGGTCCTGAGTTCAATTCCACCATCAGGCCGGGGTCTTTCTGTGTGGAGTTTGCATGTTCTCCCCGTGTTTGCGTGGGTTCCTTCCGGGTACTCCGGCTTCCTCCCACCGTCCAAAGACATGCAGTTTTTTGGGGATAGGTTAATTGGCTAATCCAAATTGCCACTAGGTGTGAATGTGCGAGTGAATGTGAGTGTGACTGGTTGTCTGTCCCTGTCTGTTAGCCCTGTGACAGACTGGCGACCTGTCCAGGGTGTACCCCGCCTCTCGCCCTATGATAGCTGGGATAGGCTCCAGTGCCCCCCGCAGAAAGGATAAGCGGATGGATGGATTTCTTATGTATGTTGTTCACCTGGGAGAATAATTGCTTGTGAACGAGTAAAAGAAAAATACAACACATATAAAATTCAAATTCAAAATTTTATTTGTCAGCTACACAATCATACACGGAACAACTTGCAGTTAAATGCTTTTTGCTGTGAAATTCCCGGCTACTGAAAGTAAAAGAATAAATAAAAAAATAAAAAAATAAAGTATAAATACTCTGGATGGTGCATGAATAGAGGCTCTTAAGCACCTTCAGAAGTAAATGGAAGTCTCTAAGTCTTTTGAGGAAGAAGAGACACCAGAGTGTTTATGTCACGGGACCATGACAGATCCTGTGTGATATGAAGACCCAGGTATCTGAAATTGTCTACTTACTCCATTAGCACATCACTGACGATGTGCTATTTTATTTTATTAAATGCATTTCATTAAAATGCATATTACACACTGTTATGTGGGCCACATTGGTGCACTATTGCTCGTAATTTCGCACCTGCTGTGTGATAAAGTCCACAATCAGCTCCTTGGTTTAGGAGGAGGTTATTCTCCTGGCACCAGTTCTCCAGGTTCCTGATCTCCTCCAGGTAGGCCTTTTCAATGTTATCAGAGATCAGGCCCACCCTCACAGTGTCATCAGCAAACTTGAAATGGAGGCATGACATGGCTAACCAGTCGTAGGTGTACAATGAGTACAGCAAGGGCCTTAAAACACAGTGCTGTGCCACTCCAGTGCTGAGTGAGATAGCAGGAGAGACATGATTTCACACCCTCACTGATTGAGGTCTGTCTTTGAGAAAGTTGAGGATCCACTGACACAGTGATGAGCTGAGTCCTAGATCCTTCCACTTGGTGAAAAGATTTAAGGGGATTACTGTGTTGAATGCAGAACTGTAGTCCACAAATAGCATCCTAACATAGTTTCCCCTGCCAGAGACCAAATGGCTCAGTGTCATGTGTAGCAGGTGTGTTATGGCATCGTCTGTAGAGTGATTAAGCTGGTATGCGAACTGTAGTGGATCAATGGCGTCAGTGCTACTGGGCACTACTCATTGAGACTGAGTAGACTGGGGTCACTCAGCACTTGAACTCTTCACTCTCCTGCCCTCTGAGAGGCGCTACAGGAGCCTCCTGATTAAGAACACCAGGTACAGCTTCTTCCCTACAGCTGTCAGACTCCTGAACTCTGCCTTCTGACATCTGACCCACATTAAACTCATGGACTGAACATGCACACACCCACAACCACCTATAACTGAACACACACAATGGACAAAAACAAACAAATGGATAACTGTACCCTCATACACATAATAACAACATGGACTGAACCACCACTCACAACCACTAGCACTTTATATAGCCTCTGTGAGTTATCCACATATTCCACTTATCTTAACTGCACTACTGTAAATGCTGCATATCTAACATTTCTGGAGTCGTCACAGTGCACTAGGACCAGTTAGGTTCGACCACTAGAGTAGTAATGAGTGTAGCATGTAATAAAGACCCCAGACCAGAAAATAAGTTTAAATTGCCGGCTTATTATTCTGTAAAAACAGAGAATAGACAGTTGACACACATTACATAAAACATTCAACACCACATTTAAGGAAGAAAAAGAAGATATTTCCTTTCCCTTTTTAGTTCAGTCATTTTGGTTAATTTATCCTATTTATCTGAAAACCTTTTATTTGGCTTTAAAAGGATGTTATTTTCAACCTAGGTTATTGTTTTATTTATTTCAAGTTCTACGTTTGAGTTCTTTAATCTATTTGAATTAACACTGTGTTATTTTAAATCAAGTTTAGTTCTTTAGGCACAAGATTTAATTTAATTTTGGTCTAGTTCACTTTTGGATTTCAACCATTTCTTATTTTGTTTTAACCCAACAAAATTATTTACATTTCCGTTAACACCATTACAGCCTTAGAATGTAAGGTTGACCACAAATAAATTACAAAAAACAAAAAAATGTAAAAAACTGAAAACAATTCAGCAAAAGGCTGAATAACCCCTTAAACAAACAAACAAAAGAAAAAGAAAAGCAGTCTCTGTGTCCTTTAACTATTAATCCCGGAATTATTCTGAATGGTTATCCGGTGCTTTGAGAGTCCACTGTTCTTTTGCAGAGGTGTATGGATTAATCCTACCAGTTTTTTTTTTCAGCGAAAGAGCACAACGTGCAGCAGGGGGCGTTTTTCCCTTTTCCTGCTTGGCACAGTTCAATGGGTCCGTTGGTGGCTCACCATCTTGTTCCTTGCTCAGCGAATCAAACTCCGATTCCAATTCGGCATTTCCCGATCCAAACTTTAATGGCCTACCATAACAACAAAACAATGTGCATAAACATTTGAAAATAACACACGGGTAGCCCTTAAAAAACAGTGGCTTTTTTCTGCATTTTGTGCAGCATGAGCTGTTGGAAATGTGCTATATCAATAAACTTGACCTTGACCTTGATAGAACCCCAGCCAACTCCTCATGAAATCTAACTGTCAAATAAGTAGAGGTTCTTTTGACATTTTTACATTTTCAAAAGCAATTTAATTTACAGCTCAATAATAATGTAGTAAATATTGGGATAATAAAGTGGAAAAAAGAAGGTAATGATGTATAACTAGCAATTTATTACCACTTAATCAACAAAAAAAGTAATTAAGTAATAGGTAATTATATCAACAATAGCTACAACTGAGCAATATTAAATTGAAATTTATGGATCTTATTCCCATAGTGCTTGAAACTAATAGTGTAAATTTAATGTAATGGGGAAGGCTTTAGGACCTGGAAGATTTAGGGGAGAGTTTAAATCGGAACTGGTAGTGAGCTCACTTTTTCTCTCTCCCACAAAACACGTAAGCAAAATAGTGGCTAGATTTGTGGTGTGCAGAGACGCTAAGAAATTGTTGGAGTGCTAAAATAAAGCAGTAAAGATTCCTTTCATGCCAGGATCAAATTCCCATTCAACAGAGAGGTGAGGTATCAAAAATGTTTAAGGTCATGCATCTTTTACTAAAAGAGTATATTAAATTCTAATTGTGTGATGTTCATGATATCCTGTTCTCTTTCAGTATTGTGTAACATCACACCAGCCAAGCTGCATAACAGGTACATAATTCAACCTAAGTTATGACATCGTAGTACAAGCTCCTGTAAAGCATTACTGTAAATCCATGCTGGCATGTAGCCTAAATTGTGTGCATTCCTATGCAGGGCGGTCTGCATGTGTGACAAATAGAATTCTATTCTATTCTATAATTTTACTTAGTCCAAGATAATCAGGACATAATCAGATGCGAGATATAATTTTAATTTATTGAATTTATGTTTGAACTTACAGATGGTTAATTTCCTGGAAATAAATAAATAAATACTTTAACAATACTAAGTTTCTTCTAGCCTATACTCAACCACAGAATGCTAATGACTTCTCAGGCTACACAGGCATCCAGCAGTTTTGCTACACAATGTCACCTCAAAACACAGAAAATCTATGAGAAACGTTTGGAACTTTTACTGATTATAGTTTACAACATCATAACATCTATTTTGAAAGGGGAAGAAGAAATCAGAGCCTCACAACATAGAGTTGGATATGGTTTTCATGCCGTGAAACATGTATATATATGCTTTTCTATGCATCGGGGCACTCAAAGCATTTTATACAACTTGCCTCATTCACCCATTCTTACAAGGTCATTTTATATATTTCAGGAGTCCGATACCATGTACAAAATGTCTGGATTTGGACATGTTATCCTGTGCTACTATATTCTAGGTATGGCAATTTCTAAGAACAGATTAATGGAACACTTTTTAATCACAGTATAGCATCAAGCCTATCTATCTTTCTATCTGTCTATCTGTCTGT